CCGGGGGGACCGGGCGCGGGCCAGCCCCTGGCAGGGGCCACGCTGTCCGGCGCTCGCCGTGCTCCCCACCCGCTCAGCGCACCCATGTCTAAACGAGCAAAAGAAGGCATTCATATGTATTTATGCCTCTGCTTCTACATGCGTGCACGCACGGTGTGTAGACTGGTGTTACGCTGAGCATAATTATCAACAAAGCGGAGGGGGGGGAAAAGACCAGCCGAAATGGAGAGCCGGGTAGAAAGCAGAAGGTGTTTAGGGAAACTTTGCTAGCGGCTCAGAGGCAATTTTATGAAAGAAAAAGCATTTTATTTTATTTTATTTTATTTATATCTTGGTTGGAAGAAAACGTGGACTGAACAATAAAAACAAGACTTGTCAATAGCCATGAGTATAAAAGCAAAGTTGAGAAATCGCGGTTCAGAAACGCCGCGGCGTCGGACTCGATCCCTTCTGACCCGAACATCTGTGAATGTCTCCGGCTGCGACAGGTCGGGGCGCTGAGAGCGAGAGCTCGAAGCCCCTCGGGAAGGCGAGGGGAGTTGCGCACGGTCCCGGTACTATCTGGAGGTGGCACGGTGGCTGGTAGCGGCGTGGAGAAGGCAGGCGTGTTGGGTAGATGTCTCTGTTGCGTGTGAGGAGGCGAGTGGCGTGACGAGTCCCTAGCGTAGGACCGGGGCGGCGGGGGGCTCGGTCCCCAGAGTCGATGCCCCCAGCAGAAGAGATGTGATCCCAGCGCCTCGAGGAGAGACGAGGCCCGATGGGGCGAACCGGCTTTGAACGGAGCCCGTCCTGCTGCCGTGCACCGTGGTACTGGGGGTGGTGATGGAAACGGCCCGAAAGACCAAGGTTTAATCTGATCTCTGCAGTCAGAATTCCCTTGGCTTTCTCTGCGAGAGAAATACTTTTCTTCCCTGCCTTGCAAGGGAAATGATGAAGTTTCTCGTTTTTTGGAAGACACTCGCTGCATATTTTTCTCCTTCTCGGAGGCCTGCGGAAGGGCTTCGTACAAGAACAAGGGGCACCCTCCGACGTGATCAGGAGGCGGCTATAGAGCAAACCAACAGAAGGGCCTTCCTAACACGGCATGTGGTTAACCCGTGGGACTTGTTGCCGCAGGAGGGTGTAGAGGCAGATGGTATAGCCAGGTTCAAGCAGGGACTAGACAGATTCATGGGCGACGGGTCCATGCGAAGGTGTTGAGTAGAGCAATCGGAGAGGTACCCTCTGCCATCCTTAAACCACCGGCAGTTGATGGCAGGGAGGCACTTGAGACATGCATTATGCATATCCCTCTCTCTAAAGCAGGGCTGCCCAACTTATGGACAGCATGCAGCCCACAAGGGGTCAAATTGTGGCCCAAGGCCTCCCACCCAGGTGGGAGACGGGCTCTTGGGCTACCACTGATCCAACTCTGCCTTCCTAAAATGATTGCAACCTTGTCCAGTTCTGTTCTGTGCTAACCCAGAACAGAGCCCTGCGTGAAAGCCTCATGTTGATAGCTCCGTAGTCACTTTCTGCTTTTAGTTAATCAGCCAGTGATGTAGTCACCTATTCGCAGTGCTTTGGAGCCCACGTTCTCCTAGGCTACACTTCCCTGTGCTGGGGCATCAAGCTGAGCACCCAGGAGGGGTTCCTGTATGGGTGTTCCCCCACCGTCCAGGAGCTGGACCGCACACTCCAGCCTGCCTTCCTGGGAAGTGCACGGCAGCGTCGGTAGTGTTGCTCATGGCTCGTGCTCCGCACTTGCTTCAGAAGCACTCGGCCGTGAGGTAACATCTCGGAGGGATTGCTGCTTTCTAGCAACTTTCCTGAGGCAGGATGGAGGAGCCAGGATGCTGTCGTCCTCACCTCTGCCTGCCTCGCTGCCTCTGCTTTCCACCCAGGTATCCCTCTCATGCTGCTGCTTCCATTGCGTTGGCGGGGCTGGGAAGTCCCTGGGCCCATGCAAAGATGCCCCTGAGGGTTTGCATTCCTGGTCCTGCACTCGGTGGAGGGACCCAGCAGCAAAGTATGCTGACGGTCATAAAGGTATACTTTTTCTTTGAGAAATGCATTGAAAGCAATCCTTTCCTGCCAGAAGCAGTGGTTTTAATGAATGGGCGTTTTCCTTGGGGAAAATGTCTTGTAAAGAAACGGGTCTAGGCAAGCACCTGAGGGCCTCTCTCTTGGGAAGAAGGCCTGGCAGCAAGGGGATAGTCGGCTGAGGCTGGTATTACGCGTGCAGTTGGGGCGGTATGGTGCTCGTTCAGAAGGCTAGGCAAGCAGGTGAGCGTGCACTACAGCGGTTACCCCTGGCATCTGCCGGCAGGAGCTTGTGTGTGGTGTGGGGAGACCCTGAGCAAAGCAGGCTCGGCTCCACGTGAGCTTGTGCTGAGCATGCTGCTTCCAGAGTCTCAGCCAGTAGCAAAAGTAGGAGCGACTGGGGCAGCGACCCCAACTGCTGTCTGTGCAATAGGGGCACAACCATAGCTGTGGCTGCAGCAGTGGGTGAATGCCGCCACCACCAGCAGCGTGGCAGCAGCTGATGCTGCCCCGTGCATCATGGCTGTCCTGGGCACGGAGCTCTGCTGCCATGCCTCTGATCTCAGCCTTGTGTTAATTATGGAGGAAATGCCTCAAACCTCTCTCAGGTCCTTGTGCTTGGGAAGTACATGTCAAATCAAAAGTGCTTAAAGCTGACTCACGTTGAGCTCTGGGATGCAGCCGTGCTGTTGGGCGGATGCTTACAGAAGAGGAACATATGGGTTTGCTTGGCCTCTGACTCTGACAGCTCCACTCAGTCCCTCTGCATTTTGAAGCTCTCCAGGAACTCCTCCTCGGTTTGGGGAGGGAAGGGCGAGAATTCCCAGCCCCGAAGGGAAGAGTCTGAGAGCCGAGTCAGACCCAGAGCCAAAATCCCAGGTGATGCCAGATTGACTGCTTAAGGAGGGAGGGGCAGCCTTTGTCCTGCTGTCGGTGCCCTGCAGGGCTGTGCTGGGTATGAGGGGTCTGTGTGCCCTGTTGATGGGGCACCTCATGGGGCTGCATTGGATATGGTGTGTTTACGTGCATGTCCTGCTGTCGGCATGCCCAGCTTGGCAGCTAAAAACCTACCAGGTAGATGACCACAGGGAAGCGGAGTGCCACCCCAGCTTCTTCTGTTGGCTTGTTCATATTCACTGACCTGAGAGGAATAGATGCAACCTGCAGGAACGAGGCATGGAGACATGGGGGCAGCTTCTCTTCCTACCAGCCCAGGGTGGATTTTGAATAACTCCAGTGGAGAAACTCTGGGTTTACACCATGCAGCTGATACCAAGGTGTGTGCACAAACTCCCACAGGCACACAGCAGCCTCTGTCACTGCTGCCAGCTGTGTTGGCATGGTGCATGCTTGCGGCTACATATGGAAGCCCTCTTCGGTGTGCAGGGTTGTGTCGTGTGCTCTCATCCTCACGGATCCTGTACACTTGACCCTTGCACCTCTTGTTTACAGTCGTATTGGGGTGGGGGGGCATGTCCTAGCTGTCTTTCTAACCTCCGTTGCGGCCATGGCTCCACAAAGTAGGTTTGCT